CAGCTGACCTGCTAAAAATGACAGATTTTCTTTTCTGGATCTCTGACAGACGGACTTCAATCTTCGAACTCGTAAAGTTCTTTTTTACTTTGCGATGTCATCCATGAATGAACACTTCCTGATATCTGAGGCAGGAAACATAGCCTTATATGGTGTTTTTGGGGTGGTAATTATGCTAATCTCCTCTCGCGTGCACGAGCAGCTGGATAGAACAGGTGGAATTTACGCAGCTCATTTACGCACGTTTCCTGAAGACAGAAGAGTTTGTTGAATCTGACGTGACATGTTCGTACGAACCCTTTGTACAAAAAAAGTAAGAGAAATTTAGGATAAAAATACGAACATGTTCTTGCATGAGGCCCATTCAGAGTGCACTTCTGCACAATGACCACAAGGACCAGCCTGTCTTCAAGCTGCCTCTGGACATTCACCTATCAAAGACAAAGACAAGTGAGCATTGCAGAACCAAATAAAAGTCAGCTGGGCTGATGTGGAGCAGAACACATGAAAAATATCTCAAATCATGATGAATGAACTCAGTTTACTGATCCTCTTTGTGGTTAACCAATGTTTTCAGTTGCTGTGAATCATCATCAGTCTTCCTTTGGTGATAAATCTGTTGTTGAGTGGTCACAGACTATTTATCACCACATCATCACGTTATTGAGCCACATATTGAGCGTTGCAGCTTTGTTACTACCTCACTTTGACCCACATCACCACCTCAGTCCAATCACAGGTTGTAGACTGTGAGACTGAAAACCCACCTGTAGATTATCAACAGGTGAACATTCAGCAGGACTTCACTCTAACCCAACAGTTTATATGTCTGTTGACAAACTCTGTCCTCACCAGTTAGAGCTGAAATATGAAAATCGTGTTTATCCAGGACAGTTCAGGTTATTTTATGAGACTGTCGAGGAAAAAGCCCTTCTTTAATTTAAGGGATCGATGTGTGAAAACATAACACAACTCTTAATGTTGCTTCAGTTCACCCAAAGCATCGGGCCGGCCCTGCTGTGCTCGACAGTGTGAAAGTGTGCCGCTATGTTTTGTAAAACAGCTCTACTTTGTCTGTCCACAGATGTTCGGTTCATTCAGACGCAGCTCTGCAAACAGAAGTCATGCTGTCTTGTTTCTGATTCTGAGACTATGTCCTGCAGCCCTATAGTTTTTTTTTTCTTTTGTGATTATATTGGTAAAACTTTAACCCTCAACTTGTTAAATAAGGTCTGTAAAGGCTGAGATGGAGCTTATTTCATTAAGGGGTGAATTTGCAGACATTTCCACTCTCGGGAAGCCATCCTAAATACACTGCCTGGCCAAAAAAATTGTCCACCTGGATTTAACTGAGGTCTATGATGTCTGGTTGCTGCAGCTGGTCAGGTCCAGGTTCAGTAACAGTCTGTGCTCAAAGAGTGAGGTCAGCTGACCTGAATATACTGAATGACCAGGTTATTCCATCAATGAATTGTTTATTCTCTGATGGTATGGACATATTCCAAGATGACAATGGCAGCATTCATCGGGCTCTTATTGTGAAAGAGTGGTTCAGGGAGCATGAGACATCATTTTCACATATGTAATAGTAGTAGTAGTAGTTCTTTATTCATTTCATTTGTAACACAAATCAACAAAGTTCAGAAAAACATGCAATCAAAATAAAATCAAATAAAATGAAAGGCACAAGAAGAAGAAGAAGAATAAATCTTATAATACCTGCCCCTTTTTTATACCCAAAATATGTTCAAAAGAAAAGTTAAAATACAACAAAAATCAAAACAACTTAAAACATTTAAAAATAAAATAAAAATAAAAAGACATCAATTCAAAAAACAGTTAGCTTGAATTCACTTATAATTCTCCATATTTCTTCAGAATACTCGTTTTTATCATTCTCTTCAATACACATGGACTGGCTCCACAGAGTCCATTGAGAATCGTTGGGATGTGCTGGAGAAGGTCAGACTCTACCATCATCAATGCAAGATCTTGGTGAAAAATGTATACAACACTGGATGGAAATAAATCTTGTGACGTTGCAGAATCTTATCCAGACAACGCCACAGCAAAGGTGTGCCGTAATCAAAGCTAAAGGAGGTCCAATGAAATATCAGTGTGACTTTTTTTATTATTTTTTTTTTTAGTGACTTTTTTTTTGGCAGGGCAGTGTATTTTACACTCTTTGTGGACAGATTCCAATTCATTTGGAAAAAAAAACAGTTCTCAAACTGGTTGTTGCTGATGTTTTTCTGCCTTGGTTTTGTGTTAACGCACACCTCCAAAACTGCATGAAGATTTTCACACACATCTTTTATTTTTCAGTCGTTATTTTAAAGATGATGGACTTTCTTTTTCCTGTGACTGCACACACACACACACACACACACACACACACACACACACA